TAATGCTTTAAACAATAATCTGCCGATGGAATAAGACACTTTCATTAGTGAAAAATAAGAAATAAGTTAAATAATCTTGCAATAATCTTATAACAGTCTCATAATGAGAAATATTAGATATATTAACTACATTTAAGATGTTTTCACTTGGTAAGTTATCATTTTTACAGTGTAGTAGCCACAGCAGAGGCTTTACACATGTACATGTACATTTTCTACATTCAAATGTGCATTTTTCTTTGATGTATATTTGAATGTTCAATTTTATATTTACACCCCTAATAAAAAAGCCCAAACTTCTCTTCATTACCAGCTTTTATAACTCAGCTAAAGTTGTCAATATTACAACCTATAACTGTTTTTCTTGTCTATGTATAACTTAAAATATAAAACATCTTACTTCTACTATTACTTAATTATCAGAATAACATTATATCACATTGCTGTTCAGAGGCGTCTATTAAATCTCAGTCACTTCGTACATATTTGTGACAAAAATCTCAAAGTAATTAATGTGGAAGGTGTTATTTCTGTGAAAACATCTTAAATGTAGTTAATATATCGAATACTTCTCATTGTGAGACTGTTGTAAGAATATTATATTAGATTATTTTACTTATTTCTAGACATTTTTACTTGTTTTATCTTATGAAAGTGTTTTATTTCATTGGCAGATCATTTTAATTATTTTAATTAATATTTCTTGAAATGAGCAAAATTATCTCCATTATTTACTTGTTTTCATCACTGAAAACAAGTAAAAATGTGTAGAAACAGGTGAAATAATCTTATAATATTCTTACAACAGATTCATAATGAGAAATATTAGATATATTAACTACATTTAAGATGTTTTCACTTGCTTTGCAGTGCAGATCTAAAGTCACAAACACATTAAACATATAAACACATTACCTTCACTGGATCCAGTTCAAGCAAACGCTTCATACAATCCAAATAAATCTGACTTTGATCCAGTTTATTATGTTATTTTATCAGAGATCACACGCAAAATACTTTAATCTAAAAAAAAGAGATACTTTGTACCAGAGTTAATTTACTAAGCTAAACACACTCAAATACGTCCACTGATCAGTCGAAAGAGCCGACTCATTCACCAGCGCTGTCTGTCTGTCTGTCTGTCTGTCTGTCTGTCCAAACGCCTCCCTGTGCACACTACAAGCGTGAAACTCACTTAAGTGCACACCCTGTTGGCGGCTGTGGAGGCTTCCTTTCATCCTAAATGTGAGACAAACAGCTCAATCTGAGGAACCTACAGCTTTATGCTCGCCAAATTCCAGCCAGGCTATTTTCAGCCCATCTAACAAACTCTGTATTATTCATGAGACATGAAACAGCAGATAGAGCAGCAACTGTAACAAGATAGCAGCTCCCAGCTTTTAAATACTCCAAATCCTGTTAGGCAAATGAACAGTTAGTTTCAGAGACTAACAAGGCCGGGACTGCACACTCACACATACAGCACTGGGAAAACGTCAGAGACCACCCCACACCTACTTAATATCCAGTCAAATCCTCTGTCTCTATATCTGTGTCTGTCTCTTTGTGATGATCCAGCACAGAAATCCAGTTCAGACACTTCCTGAATCTGTAGAGTCGCCTTTTCCATTCCATCTTATCACAAGATCATACGAGACTCACATCCGGAGTTATGAGCCTATGAAGAGGGGCTGAGATACACGTCATCTGCCTCTCACCGTGTGGAACTGGTGGATTCGTGTGTCCGTCTACATTCTGTGTGAAACTGACCAATGGACTCTCAGGAAATCACTAAGGACTGACCATCACGCCGGAAACCCTTCATTCTTCATTCAGTCCACATCGGAGACTCATGTGAAACGGCGTGCAGAGAGTTTACAGCTGCTGAAGCTGCTGCAGCGGTTTTGGAAAGTAGTGATGAAGATAACGGAGCATTTAGATATGAAACATATGAGGATCATGATATATGAAGAGCCTTTAGAGGAGGATTTAAGAAGAGATGAACAAATCGAGAGAGAATGGCATAAAGTATAAGTTATTCATCGTCAGGAAAAAAAGCAGAAAACAGAAAATTACACAGAAGCTTCATCAACTAAGTATAATAACAGATTTTTCAGTATTTACATTGATATATCAGCAAGTGAAAACATCTTAGTGTAGTTAATATATCTAATATTTCTTATTATGAGACTTTTGTAAGAACATTATAAGATTATTTAACTTATTTTGAGTCTTTTTTACTTACTTGAAATAATTTTACTACATGAAATTATCTCACTATGTTGGCAGATAATTAAATTTGGAATAAACAAAATTATAAGTTCATCTTATAACATTCCTACAAATATTTATTGTTTATTAATATTTATACTAGGGCGGCACGGTGGCGCAGTGGGTAGCGCTGTCGCCTCACAGCAAGAATGGCCTGGGTTCGATTCCCGGCTGGGTGACCTGTGTGGAGTTTGCCTGTTCTCCCCGTGTCTGCGTGGGTTTCCTCCGGGTACTCCGGTTTCCTCCCACAGTCCAAAAACATGCAGTCAGGTCAATTGGACGTGCTAAATTGCCCGTAGGTGTGAGTGTGTGTGTGGATGTATATGTCTGTTTGTCTGCCCTGCGATGGACTGGCGACCTGTCCAGGGTGTATCCTGCCTTCCGCCCGATGACAGCTGGGATAGGCTCCAGCACCCCACCGCGACCCAGAAGGATAAGCGGTTTAGATGATGGATGGATGGATGAATATTTATACTAGATTTTAAATTGTTTCACTTGCCAAGATATAATTTACTGCAGTGTCCATGGCAGAGAGGTACAGTAGTCCCCAAAGAAAACTTATTATTTCAGATTTTCCACTATTTTCCATCATCAACATTCCATATAAACTCAGAAGACTCGTGTAGGTTCACTGGTGGTTCTGGATAGTAAATAAAATGTCTATATTTGTGTTGTAGTCATGGCGACCCCTGGTTCCTATCACCACCACTGTAAAGAGATCTGAACCATTTCACACCAAACCCCTCTGAACCTCTCTGTTTACGTCTCACACACTGAGCTATGGAGGAATTGTAAAAATTCCCCTGTAAGACTGGAGGAATGGAAGAGTTAAACTGGTAGTACTGCCTGAATAAAATGAAGGCTGGTCTCTGATTTGTGCACAGCAGTGAAATTCTTTTTCGACTGCAGTGTGAAACATGCCTGCTGGGAAAAATATCCATGCTGGTAATATGTCGCATGCATCATTAGCCATGGCGAAAGCACATTGTACAGCATGCCTACATCAATCAGTCAAACCATGGCCAGCTAATGAACATGAGTCAAACCTTGTTCATTAAGGTTGTGCTGTTAATTGGGCTCGTGGTGATTGTCTCTGCGGAGACGGAGGCCAGAGGAAGGACCGGGCTTTTGTTTGGGCTGCTCGGCGGCTGAAAGCTCAGCACCGCCAAGCACCTATCTGGCATTTACACCGCACACATTTACCCGTGAGACGTGCGCTATCTGCCGCTCAGCAGCCTTTTCTCAACAGGGAACAGCGCAGCGGAGTGGGTGTCATTCTTTTAATAAGACTGACTGCTTTTTAATTGGTTGTCATAATTGAACTTTATCTATTCACACCAATGACGGCGGCAGGGCGTCTGAGTTTAATAGCCGAGCGAGGGGAACACAGTGAGCTTCTGATTCCTTTAATATCCAATGCTGGAGCACGCAGGCTCCTCTCAGGCCCAATATCCGGCCAGGAACAATGTCTCTCCAGCTGGACGCCTATGCACAGATAGCCTGCACCTAACCCTGCACTCCGCAAGTGTCGTTCTCCCGCCCGCGTTATTGCAGTTTGTCCTGTGCGTCGGCCTAGAAGGGCCCATGAGAGGCGGCTACCACTTGACCCTTCCAGCTCTCGCCTACACCATCTCAAAGTCATGACACATATCGAGCAGATGCAGAGAAACTGCTTCAAAGTGCAGCGAGGTTTCAGCCCCGCAAACCTGCAGGTAATGTGATATTATTACGCAACATGACAAGTGTGTACAGTGTCCTCCATCGCGCTCAACAACAACCCACGAATGTGCTTTCCTTTGCACAACTAAGCAAAAAGCATCCTTGGACCTGGAGTACACTCTTAAACCTGCAGCGTACTTCAAACAAAACAACGTCTGCGAGATCAAAAGTTGCAGTAGTTTTTGTTCATATGGTCACTGCTTTCTAAACAAAACTACTAATCACTACCTCGCTTATTGTTATGAGACCTCCCCCTGACTGTGATTGGTCGTAATTTCTACCTCAGTCGATCTGAGACCTCCCCCTGACTGTGACTCCTTGCTAATATCCACCTTGTTTGCACTGAGACCCCGACTGTGATCTCACTCATTCCGAGACCTTTTCTTGACTGTGATTTGTCCTAATCTCCACCTTGACCATTCTGAGCCCTTCCCTTGACTGTGATTGGTCCCTAAATACTGCTTTGTTTGTTCTGAGACCTCCCCCTGACTGTGATTGGTCCCTAATTGCCACCTCATTTCTTCTGAGACCTCCCCCCCAACTATGATTGGTCTCTAATTTCCACCTTGTTTGTTCTGAGACCCTCCTCCGACTGTGATTAATCCCTACTCTCCACCTCATTCATTCTGAGACCTCCCCCTAGATTGTGGTAGCTCCTAATCACCACCTTGTTTGTCCTCAGACCTCCCCCTGACTGTGATTGGTCCCTAATTTCCACCCCGTTCACTCTGAGACCTCCCCCTGACTGTGATTAGTCCCTAATCTCCATCTCAGTCCCTAATCTCCATCTCAGACCTTCTCTTGACTGTGATTGGTCCTGCTCGCCGCCTCGTTTGTTCTGAGACCTCCCCCTGCCTGTGACTGGTCCAGTAACACCATGTTCAGCAGTAATTCAGTTTTGTTAAGTGTTTTCGTCCATTTTCCATGCACCTCAACTCAGGAAGGACTCAAAGGGCTGATCAGTACAACAGCAGACACGGGAAGCACTCCCTCAGAACCAGGTGTCTTACCTTGAATAGGCGTAGGATGTTGGCCACCATGATGGAGACGGAGCTGGCCGACGCGCCGATGACGCCGACGATCTTGTCGGGCTTGGCAAAGATGGGCGGGTCTCCGTTGGCGCAGCGTACATCCGAGCCATCACGCTCGATGAGCGCCTGGACAAAGGTCAGCGACTGCTCCAGCGCGTATGTGTCCCGCGAGCATGTGTCCAGGATGCGGGCGCCCAGGGTCACATTGGGCAGCAGCTCAGGGTCCTTGTTGATGAGGTCGATGGCGAAGAGCATGGCCTCCAGCCTATGGATGCCCTTCTCCTTCTTCAACTCTCCGCAGGGGACGCCCCGCTCGCCCCGGGCGTGCACCGGGAACAGGCCGCCAAGGATGATGTCGCCGTCCAGCCGGATGGAGTGGGCGTACTCCGTGGGCAAAGGCTCAATCCGCTGAGACAGGGATGGAAACCAGCAGCAAAACTCAGCCGTTAGGAGGAGGAGGAACCAGCACGGCGCCTGATTCGGGCGCGTTTGTTCTGACGCCATGGTGAGACCACAGGGAGGGGGGTTAAATCCGAAATTCCCGACGATTTAGCCAAAGGGGTGCAGCGACAGGACCATCCGCTTAGTGCTGAGGCCGAGGCCCCTGTGCGGTGGAGGTTTCACCGCGGGGACTTCTCATTCTCCACGTACGTCCGCAGCGCATGTCACGTGACGGGAAGCGAGGAGCGGCAGAGAAGAGCAGAGCGTTAGGATCCTCTCTGCCTCATGCTGCAGCGATCTCACATCTTCAGCCGAGCCTGCAGAGGAGACAAAACAAGCGAGTGAGCAGCTGCGAGACAGGCAGCTCACAACGAAACAAAACCATCCTGAGATATGGACATCTTGACAGAAAGCAAACAGCATCAGTCAGCTGGGGCTTGATGTGTTCCTTCATTTCTGCCTCACTGAGTCACACAAATGAAAGAAGGCATCCTTTTACGTTTCTGCACACAGTCAGAAGCTGTTTGCAGCAAATGAGAACGCATTCATTAGTATAAGAAAGCTGCGAGAGAACGAGCAGGCAGAGAGATTGCAACACTACTGGCACTATTAGGGCTATATGAGGCAGGAAACAATACAATAGTGAAAACATCAAGTCTAAAAAGGTCCTACAAACGGCCTGATTGAGGGTACCAGGCGCTCTTTTTTATAGGCCGCACTCTCCTGGTTGTATGTGCTCTGTTTTTCCACACTGCAGTGAAAGCAACCATAAAGGACCAGCAAGTTCAAGTGATTCGTGATTCGCAAGATACAATGCCACTGAACTGGCGCTGGCGAAGGGGGGCGATGGAGTGCCTTTCAAATCCGAGCCGTGTCCTCTTCTTCCAGTGACTCAACACAGAGGGCGATAAGGTGGGGCTTAAAGGGCTCATCAGGGACACGATTTCAGGATTGCAACTGTTAAAAATAACGACAATAAAATGTACAGCAGAGCTAGTTTTACGTCAGATCTCACAATCTGCAGTAGCTGAAAACAGCTGGCTGCTTTTGGGGGCGTCGCAAAAAGAAAACTCGCAGGTCGAGGTTCAAATAGAGAGTCTAGGTTGAGTTTTAGATCAGTTTTGAGTTTTTAAACTAAAAAAACTATAATTTAATGTAATAATAATGCTTAATCAACAGTTGTATCTCCCGCTCTTTGCGCATTCCTTTAAATCTCATCGTGTGATGCTGTGTGTCATATAAACAGTCGCTGTGCCACAAATCAACAATCTGATTGGTCATTGCTCAGCTCATTTGCATATAGTTCATCCAAGAACAAGAGAGCAGTGGTTTGATGTGTCGGTTAGATGTATATACTGTCGTCTCTCACACTACTGAACCGTATGACACGTTCTGTTTTAATGCAAAAATCATTTTGCATGATGTCATCAGTCACGTCACTCATACACTGCTTACAATTTCAGCTCCCTGAACTTAAAACACCTTCCCGCATTCCTGGGGATCATATAAAGTTTGAAAAATGTGTCGTTCACTTTCCAGTCCATGTGCAGCCTGTTTGACTTTGTGATGTCACAAAAAACAACACCTCCACCTATTTAGCCTACAGCGGTTTAGCTCCACCCACTCATGCAGAAGTTAAGAGTGCTGCAGCGTGGGCTGATTTTTGTTTAACGCACGATACACGGCAGGCAATCAGAACAGAGCTCAGTTGCATGTCAGTCTTAAAGGGGCACTAACAAAAACAGCCTCTGAGATGAAGGGAGGGTGGAAAATTAATGATTTTTGGTGCATAAAAGCTCAAAGATGGATCTCAAAAAATACAAGAAAATATGTTAGATACGTGACTCAACCACAGAGGCAGATAAGGTGGGACTTAAAGGGCCCATTCTGAAATAAAAGAGTTTAGCGTGGTATGTAAAGTCTAAAAAACATGCCATTCTCTTCTCAGCCCAAATATGAGCAGCCTGTTTTGAATTCGCTGTTGTTGTGATGTCACAAAGGCAACATATTTAAAGTGTATCCACCTTATCAGCCTACAGCAGGTTGGCTCACTGAAGTTATAGGTGTTCAGCTCTGACTGCTGTTTGATTGAGATGCAATACAGGGCAGCCAATCAGAACAGAGCTCATTTGCATATGCCAGTTTTAAAGGGGCAGTAACAAAAACAGCCTGTGTAATTCTAAGAGATGAAGGGAGGTTGGAAAACAAATAATTGCTCATTTTTGGTGCATAAAAGCTCAGAATTAATCTCAAAATACAAAAAATAAGTCGGATATGCGACTTAAAGGGCCCATGTCATGGAAAACCCTTTTTTTCTGAAATAAAAGAGTTAAAAGTTTTATGTTAATTCTATTAAAGTTTAAAAATGTTTAACATTGTTTAAAAAATATGAGCAGCTTGTTTTGAATTAGCTGTTTTTGTGATGTCACAAAAGCCAACAGATTTCACACATATCAATATACTCATGTACCGATATACAGCCAATCAGAACAGAGCTCGTTTGCATATGCCAGTCTTAAAGGGACGGTAACAAAAATTGCCTGTTTAAATCTAAGAGTTGTAAAATGAATCACAGCTGATTTTTGGTGCATAAAAGCTCCAAGTGGGGAAAAAAGCTGGATGAGGCCTCATCGTCATAATTTTGGGAGCAACTCAGTCATCAGTGGACTCTACTCAGGCTTTGATCATGTCCAGACAAATAAAAGCACCTTTTTTATCCCATTATATCCCTTTAAAAGGATTTATATCCCTTAAAAAGACACGTACAAGCATCAATCTGCATGTATCCTCAATTATAACGTGACCATATTCTTCTGTGTCAGTGTTTTTCTCCATCTGAGTGAGATGAATCACCCGGCTGTGTCCTCACTAATAAGGCTGGATTGATGGGCAGTCACAGAATTTAAGCTCCTCGATCGTTACCAGCGACAGAAAGACGAAGGTGGTTATTAGGCACCTCTGGCACTCTTCTTCTTCACCTTCTTCATCTTTTTTCTTTTTCATTTGCGAGTATAGTTACGTGTCAAGCTGTGCCATCTTCCCCAGGAGATTCTATTCCGTCTCCTCCAGCAGGACTGCTCTCCGGGGATCCCTCTGCTCTCCGCACAGACTGATAGCTTTCCTCAATCCCTCCTCTCCTCGCATCCTAAAAAAGGAAGAGGTCCCAGCCCTTCTTCTGCACAGAAGCCCCCCGTTTAGGCTCAGTGGGCATGAGGGGGCTTCAAATGGAGCAGTTTAACACCAGGCTGAAGTTGGGCTCCCAATTCTCCAGCTTCTTGTTGGAACTCTCCGTTCCACCTTAAATGGTGCGGCAGTTACGTTCTGGCGTCTCAGGCTCAGAATGTAACTGCCGCACCATTTAAGGTGGAACGGAGAGAAGCTGGAGAACTTCACATATATGGGTCTGTATGATAAGACATCATGTTAAGATCAGATAAAAACCCTCTCTAAACATTTAACCGCCCAAACAAACTGCTGTGAAGACGGGTTAGGGACTGTATGCAGCTGCTCGCTCTTGCATTCCTTTGCACTCGCGCAACTTCACCGCAGACCTTCGCATTTTTGCACCGCTGCACATCCACAGAGCTCGCGCTCACGCATGCAGCTAGGGCTCGCATGTGCTGGAGAAGCCCACCTTTGCTCAATAATGCACGCACGAGTCTAATATGAGTGAAAAAGAAGGAGGAATTAATGTTTAAAATCAGCCCTACCTCCCCTTCGGTCTCTCAGACGACGCTCGCGGCCAGACACGCGCCCGGGTGCTGAAATGAACAGCGCGCGCGCCCGCGAGACGAATCACTAAAATACTCTCGGCGTCTGTGATTGGTCTTCTCGTCCTCTCCCTCTCTCTCCCTCTCTCTCTCTCCCTCTGACTCACTCACTCACTCGCTCGCTCGCTCGCTCTTCTTCCTCTCTCTCTCTCTCTCTCACCCCCTGCTCCTCTTCCTCTCTCTCTCTCTCACTCACCCCCCGCTCCTCTTCCTCTCTCTCTCTCTCTCACCCCCCCCGCTCCTCTTCCTCTCTCTCTCTCTCTCTCTCTCTCTCACTCACCCCCCTGCTCTTCTTCCTCTCTCTCTCACTCACCCCCCGCTCCTCTTCCCCTCTCTCTCTCTCTCACCCCCTGCTCCTCTTCCTCTCTCTCTCTCTCTCACTCACCCCCCGCTCCTCTTCCTCTCTCTTTCTCTCACCCCCGCTCCTCTTCCTCTCTCTCTTTCACTCACACCCCTGCTCTTCTTCCTCTCTCTCTCTCTCTCACCCCCTCGCTCCTCTTCCTCTCTCTCTCACCCCCCCCGCTCCTCTTCCTCTCTCTCTCACCCCCCGCTCCTCTTCCTCTTTCTCGCACCCTCCGCTCTTCTTCCTCTTTCTTTCTCTCTCACCCCTGCTCCTCTTCCTCTCTCTCTCACCCCCCCGCTCCTCTTCCCCCCCTCTCTCTCTCACTCAGCCCCTTTGCTCTTCTTCCTCTCTCTCTCCCACCCCCCGCCGCTCCTCTTCCTCTCTCACCCCCCCGCTCCTCTTCCTCTCTCACCCCCCCGCTCCTCTTCCTCTCTCTCTCTTTCCGACTCTTTCTCACTCACTCCCCCCCCGTATTCCTCGCTCTGCTCTAACAGGAGCGTGTTTGTTGTCGAAGCGCGTCAATTAAGTTAATTAAATAATTACACTTAACCTCGTACACACGGAGCGCTCGGCCGCGCGCTCACCTGCTGCTGGGGCGCTCTGACGTCACTGCTTGACGTGTGTGGAGCTCTGGAGTCCCGTCGACAAAAGTCAGATTCCTTTAAAATGTACATTAAATTTAGTACATTAAACGCGCGCGGTATGCGTTCATATCCAAATTCAACGTTTTCCCAAAACCGCCCAAAATACAGTTTGGGATCCCGCCGCCCCGCGTGACCCGGAGGCAACCGTGTGTGCGCGTGCAATACAAGAAAAAAACAAAACAGCAAAACACGCTGTAGTGAAACATACAGCTCTTATAGAGGAGGCGTTAGAGTAGAATGAGGAGCTCAGCGTGGAGCATTACTGCCCTCTAGCGGCGACGAGGAGGAGGACAGAGACTTTACCCTATCAGTCAACGGTTTAGATGTAAACAGAGTCAGAACTGTTCACGGTGGTGGTGATAGGAACCAGACGTCCCCCTCTAAAAGCTCCCTCACAGAAAGTTCCTACAGTAAATGGTTATGAATTCACTGCCTGATGACTGAGACACTGTTTTATGATAGTTTAGAGAACTTAAACTCCATTCATGGTGGAGGGATACATGCAGGGCACTGTGAGGCAAAATAGTCCCCAAAGAAAACTTATTTCAGATTTTCCACTATTTTCCATCATCAACATTCATATAAACTCAGAAGACTCGTGTAGGTTCACTGGTGGTTCTGGATAGTAAATAAAATGTCTATATTTGTGTTGTAGTCATGGCGACCCCTGGTTCCTATCACCACCACTGTAAAGAGTTCTTTTTAGAGATTTTTCAAAACTCAACTCAGTGAATGACTCACATTTACTCTGATGTCCTTTCAACTAAACATCACCAAAGAGATGAAGAGCACTGTTAACTGTTACAGCAGGTAAAGCTGGAGTAGATCATTTATTTTAGAATCTTTTTTTTTTACTTTATAACATTTTTTACCATAACATTCTGACCACCTCCTAGTTTCTACGCTCATTGTCCATTTTATCAGCTCCACTTACTATATAGGTGCACTTTGTAGTTCTACAGTTACAGACTGTAGTCCATCTGTTTCTCTGATACTTTGTTAGCCCCCTTTTACCCTGTTCTTCAGTGGTCAGGACCCCCATGGACCCTCACAGAGCAGGCACTATTTGGGTGGTGGGTCATTCTCAGCACTGCAGTAACTCTGATGTGGTGGTGGTGTGTTAGTGTGTGTTGTGCTGGTCTGAGTGGATCAGACACAGCAGTGCTGCTGGAGTTTTTAAACACTGTGTCCACTCACTGTCCACTCTATTAGACACTCCTACCTTGTTGGTCCACCTTGTAAATGTAAAGTCAGAGACGATGGCTCATCTGCTGCTGCACGGTTTGTGTTGGTCATCCTCTAGTCCTTCATCAGTGGTCACAGGATGCTGCCCACAGGACGCTGTTGGCTGGATATTTTTGGTTGGTGGACTATTCTCAGTCCAGCAGTGACACTGAGGGGTTTAAAAACTCCAGCAGCACTGCTGTGTCTGATCCACTCAGACCAGCGCAACACACACTAACACACCACCACCACGTCAGTGTTACTGTAGTGCTGAGAATGACCCACCACCCAAATAGTACCTGCTCTGTTAGGGTCCATGGGGGTCCTGACCACTGAAGAACAGGGTAACAAAGTATCAGAGAAACAGATGGACTACAGTCTGTAACTGTAGAACTACAAAGTGCACCTATATAGTAAGTGGAGCTGATAAAGTGGACAATGAGCGTAGAAACAAGGAGGTGGTCAGGATGTTACGCCTGATCGATTTATCATCCTAATAGCAATCAATAAATCAAATGCTCCGATCATAAGAAGGAAAAAATGATCTGTGGAAGCTGCAGGACTGTAAACACCCTGTCCAGTCATTTCATTCACACTCATTTTTTTAAAAACTAGCTCACATTTCCTCGATTCTACACTCTTACAAAAGATGGTTCTTCAAGGGTTCTTTAGTAGATAACAGCGCTATACAGAACCATAAACAAAGAACCCTTTGCATAGTGAAATGGTTCTTCAGGTTGATGGAGAACGTGTTGTGCATGGTTCTATATAGCACCTTTTTGAAAATGATTCTACATAGCACCAGAAAAAGGTTCTTCTATTGTTATGGTGTCAAGCTTGTAACAGCAGAACTCCTTTCGGTGCTATATAGAACTACTCTCAAAAATGTAAACACCATTTACAACACATTCTCCGTCAATCTGAAGAACCGTTACACCATGCAGAGAACCATTTAGGCAAAAAGGGTTCTGCCAATGTGTACGATGTCAAGCTTATCACAATAGAAGAACCCTTTTTGGTGCTATACAGAATCATTCTCCATCAATCTGAAGAACCATTTCACCATCAAATAGTTCTAGAACTCATGGTTTGTCTTTACTTAAGAACCCTAGAAGAATATCTTAGAGTGTACCACTACTCCAAGTGCCACTACACGGAACTGAATCCTTTACCTGTTATCTAGAACATGCACTTCAGAAACTGAAACCAAGTCGAATCAGGCTACAGTGGTCCATGATGAAACTGCACTCCTAAAACAAGAATTGAGTTCTTTAGTAAAGGCAACGGTTCTATAAACAATGAATACTCCAAGAACCATCTGAATGCTTAAGTGGTTCTTCACATGGTGAAATGGTTCTTCAGATTGATGGAGAATGTGTTGTATGTGGTTCTGTAACCATTTCCTCATGCGAAGACCTATTTAAGCAAAAAGGGTGCTGCAAATGTTATATCAAGTTTGTAACAATAGAAGAACCCTTATTGGTGCTATACGAAACTCCATCAATCTGAAGAACCAGTACACCACGCAAAGAAACATTTAAGCACGAAATAGTGCTAAAGAACCATCTTTAAGTGCGCACACTATCATAAGAAGCAGCACTGCAGTCTGCTAACGCTGTTTATACTGCACACAGGAGGAAATCAATCTCACCATTCCTGCCAGATCTGGTTCTAGATCTGAAGTCAGATACAGACAGGAGGTTTCACTGGATGCACTACAAAAGACGGTTCTTCAACATGACAAACGACACTAGTGTGATCGTGTCCTGTGGATGTTCATGATTAGAGAAGACAAACAAACTCAGATATTCCAATCTCTCTTTTATTGTTGGGAAAAGCAAACTTCATAAACAGATACATTCATTTCGGCTGTACGTAAAGTAGAACCCTACCATCGTCTATCGAGTTAACTGTTAAACAAAACAAAGTTTGGGAACGCCTAAGGAACCTGCAGTTCTTTCTGAACTGAATCATGGCTTGAGCACAGCTGCGCAGACGAGGCATCTTGTAGAAACGTACCGATTTTAAAAAATATATCACTGCTGTCGGAACAAAACCTCGTATCTCCAAAATGATCATTTTACAGGAGAAGGAAAAAACACTTTGCTTTTAATGTAAGTCAATGGAACCAGACGCTTTTCCAAGTCATTTTGGATTGTTTCTTTTGGTCCATTCATCATGAAATTTACACACAATATAAAGAACAACAGGCAATTTTAAATTATATCACAAACTGAAAAACGGCAAAAATGGAGATAAAAGGTTTTGCTCCGACAGCAGCGATATATAACTCATAATATGTGATGACGCATGTAAAATGATAGCTCTTTTTCAGGTTGGACTGAACAAGGCATCTGGTATTATTCAGAAAGTCGTGTTATGCAGGCCTCAAACATTTAGATTTAGAAAAAAAATAATAGTAATAATAACACCAACAACAATAATAATAATAATAATAATAATAATTTCATATTCCCAATGCTGTACATTTGCTTCAACGTAAAGAACGCCTGTACTTCAGATTCAGGAAAGATAAAGAAATCAGTCCTAGTAGTAAAAAAGAACAAGTTTAGATTCACCATATATTTGCATTGAATACCAATGAGCACTATGTGGTGCATCACCAAGCTGCACTACTGATAGATCCTTCTCGTGAGCTTCTCCTGGGGATGATCCACTAAAACTGGATTCTGGAGACTTATGTTGGAGATTGGGATTCGGCAGCAATCGAAACCCGCAGGCAAGAACGGATTGTTTTTTGCTTTGTCCTCTCTAATTGGTTGGTTAGTGGTTAAACCCTCCAAAATAACCATAGACTGTTCTGTGATCACCGTGGAGTTGCAGGGAGTTTACAAATTTGTTTGTGTGTATGGAAGCTTGCCACACAAAAGTAAAACAAAATGCACTTAAAGCAGGTAAACTTCCATTCCTCTGCACAGTTTTAACTGCCAAAGCTACAAATTAATCCTCTCCTACGTACAGACGAGTATTTACACTGCAGCACGTTTCCATGGTCCAGTTCATGGTTTCGGTCACTGACGTACTTCTAGCTTCCCATCCGTCCTGCCGGAAGTCTCGTCTAAAAGGATCTGAGAGGAAAAGAACCAGAGAGAGAAAAAGAGAGAAAACACCTGTGAGCCAGAGTTGCACAGTCAATTAGCCTCGTTTAAACACAGTGTCTCCTCATCTGTTTGCTAGCGGCAGTAGCTGGGGAACCCTTGGCCGCAAGCAGCCCATGACCAAGCGGTAATCGAGTGTCTGAGTTGTTTTCCCTGTCTGATGTAACACGCTGCTTCTGGGAGAGAAAAACCAGGCTCAACATCTAGAGGGATCAGAGGAAGAGTGATGATTTAAAAGAGGGCTGTCACAGCGACAGATGGAAGTCAATAAGCATGGACCCAAAGAACTGGATGAGGAACCGGGGGGGAGAAAGTCGACACAGACACCCAAAGCGACTCCGTCATCCTTATTTGGAGATCAGAGAGTCTCCTAAGTCTCCCCGGTCCTCTGACAGAGAAGCGTGACTAACACTGCTAGCCTGGACCGTGCCGTGTCCAAGGACATGGATGAGCTATCTTAACTGCTTCTCAAAAGAAGACCCTCCAGTGTCTCTCTCCCTGTTTGGTCAGACAGCGCTGAACCCCAGGGACCACTTATACCTTGAGGTGAGAATGAAGCTGCCCTCATTTTCGAGGGCCTGCGCCAGGGATCCATATTTCATTTTCCAGGAGCTCTGCCAAGAAACTGTGGCCCGCTCTAGTGTGTGTACTTCTCTTTCTGTATTCTGTAAGAGCCAGCTAGCGACTCCTGAACACCTGAGTGCTTCCAAGAGAGGTTTATCACGTAGACTGGACCAGGTACACATCGGTCAGTTTCTTTTTGGCGCTTTGATTTTAAATCTAATGCCTCTGACAAGCCTAGTTAATCAGCATTTGATAAACTGCCTCAGATACAGCTGTCTGAACTGACAGACTCACCCGAGCAGGGACTTGGAGCGCGTGTTCACTCCCGTCGTCCTGCCGTCACTGTTGGCTGCATTCCGGTGGCTCCTCTTGTGCGACTCCAGGTAGACCTTCTTAGCAAAAGCTCGGCCGCACATGTCACACGCATGCAGAGAGAAGTTTTTGGTGACCCGCACTTCCGTGCTGTCCTCCACCTCCTCAGAGTTGGTGGATACGGAGTTCGGAATCCGAGGTAAAAGGCTTTGTTTGCGCGTAACAGGCGGTGAGGGAGGGGGGAGGTCCTGTTTGGCTGAGACAAGGGGTGAAGGCGGGAAGCACTCAGCCTTCGGAGGGCCATGTAACAGAGTGGGTTTGTGGCCGTTGACCTCCTCTTTCGCATGGCGGCGCTTTTCCGAGCCTCCGAGCACCACTTCGGCAGGCTTTTTCACGGCCCGCGACTCCAGGCTGGGCAGGATCTTGGCCAGGTAGGCAGAGTTCTTCTTGTGTACCACAGTGATGTGGCGCAGCACGTCTCTCTTGCGCCGAGACTCGTAGGGGCACAGCGGGCAGCGGTAGAACTTGATGAAGATGTCGCTGCCGTTGTCTGTGTGCAACTCGATGTGTTTGGTCAGGTTCTGGCGGGAGCTGAACTGCCTCTTGCAGAGCTTGCAAAAGAGCTGCCTGAAGTCAAAGCCCATGGAGAGCCTGGGCTTGCGTGACAAGGGGCCGTCTTCGTCCTCCTCTCTAGGCCTCTTGAGGCACTCCTGATCAGCCGGTTCTAAGTTGTTGGAGGGGCAAGGGCTGACGTCGAGGCACTCGTTAGCAATGGACTTCATGGTGTCTGACAAGTCGGTTGAAGGGCTTTTGGAAGTGAGGATCTTGTGAACGAAGCGCATGTGTCTCTTGAGCCGAGCTTGCGTACTGTAAGTCCTCTTGCAGAGGAGGCACTTGCAGGAAGCCAGGTTATACTGAGGAAGGGGCGAGAGGACCTTGGGGGTAGGTGAGACAGGAACGTGTGGAGGGGGCGTAGCCTCTAGCTGGCCTGGTTTGGTGGCAATGTCGGGTGTGATGAGGTCGCGGCGGAGACCACGGTGCACCTCATCAAAGTGGCGGCAAACGTTGGCTTTGGTGGCAAAGGTCTTGAAGCAGACCGGGCAGCACTTGCCATTGGGCGATGGCGCGTGCACCTGGCCCGTCTGCCGGTCCTTCACCACGGAGAACAGACTGATGGGCACCGTACGAGTCTCTGTGAACTTGCGGAGCTCCTCCAGGCGTCGCTTGTGCATCTTGTGGCAGTGGCGGCGGATGCTACGTCGTGAATTGAAGTCTTTGCCGCAGAGGCAGCACGTAATCGTTACATCGTCCGCGCCGCTGTTGACCACCTGCTCATCCACGCCCTCGCTGCGGCCCTCTTCTTCCTCCTTGTTCTCCTCCAATGTTACTCCTTCAGCCTGCTCCTTTACAAGCTTCTCACCTCCTTCTTCTTCTTCTTCTTCTTCACTTTCCTCTCCCTCGGCTTCTCCTTCGTCACTCTCCCCGTCCATGTCGTGCTCCTGTTCTTGCTCTTGGCTCTCTAGTTGGGGGTGTTTCCAGCTGTCCATGCTGTGGTTGGAGCTATTGCAGGGGAAAGGAGACTCAAGGTCGTCCTCTTTAATCAGATGTTGGAACACAGCGTTCTGATTGCCCTCTATGGGCTCCAGCCTCACCACATAGTCCTGTCTGTCTGGCCGGGGGTAAATGGCCTCCAGTAGCTCTTTAATAGCAAGGCTCTGTTTGCCATCTCCCAAGTGCTCTACAACAACAGGACAAGATAGGTCAGAATAATACATGTTCAACTGCAATTACATGGTGCAATCTTTATCAGGGTTAGCAGATGGCAAAAAAATGTAAATACTATTTCACTAAGGCTATGGCTTTTAGAGACATAATGAAAAAGTGCTGTACTCAGCACTGACCATCTGGTTCCGGCAGCCTGGGAAAGCAGTAGTACTCTTTGTGCGTAATTAGGTTAGGAAGGCCACGGAAGAGGCTCCGACAGAGCTTACACTCAAATATTGTGTCCACCTCTTTCAGCAGTATGTGTTTCAACTGTGTAGTACCTGTAGAATGACACAAGAGGGCAGTATAAGCAACCAAGTTGAAGATTTCACGCAGAGAGACCAACACATGGCACACAAAGCTTCTGGTTTCCTAAAAAAGATTTCCCAAAATGATCTGTATGGTACCTGAACGAAAACATTCAATGATCTGCTGGATGCCAGACTTTGATGTCTCCAGTGGTCTCTGCAGCAGCGAAGGGTCTCCAGGCTCAACGGAATAGACTGCAACAAGAAAAGAGAGGGAGAAATTTAGAGTAATGAAAATATCCAACCATAAGACGAGTGGTTACTTTTCAGGGCGCTGAGATTACCGTTAAAACTGGGGCATTCTGAATGGGAAAATGAGAAATCGCAATATTAACGATTTCACGCTGCATTTCTGCACAAAAGAACATTTTAGACGAGGATTAGTCTTCAGAAGCAATGACCAAGGGCGTGAGGAAGAACATGGAGTTGCTAATCAAACCAAATGGTCTCCAACAGAGCAGCTCTGCTGCCTTAAGGCTGAGAGTGGCTGCCTGTCCAGATTCAACAGCCCTAAAATCTGAAGATCTAGTCTGCAACCTTGGTGTAGTAATGAACTGCAAAAAATGGCATCCTGTCAAGAGAAATGAACTTAAATCTAGTTGATATATATCCATGGTTGCGCACTTATTAAAAGATTATCTAGCTTATTTTTGGACATTTCTCACTTATTTTAAGTAATTTTATTAAGTAAAATTCTCTCACTATACTGGCTGATAATTTTGCTGGTTTCGAGCTCATTTCTCAAAACAAGCAAAATTATCTGCCAATATAGTGAGATAATTTTACTTAATAAAATTACTTAAAACAAGTAAAAATGTCTAGAAATAAGGAAAATAATCTTAAAGCTTACAGCAATCCCAACAGGAGAAATATTAGATTTATTGACTATATTTAAGATAATTTTACTTGACAAGATACCATTTTTTGCAGTGTGGGCTCTGATCTCAGCAGTCGTGTCAAAGCAGTTATTAAATCAGCTTTTTAATCACATCAAAAACATCAACAAGATCAGAGACGTTCTGACTAAAGCAGAGCTGGAGAAACTCGTCCACACGGCCACCTTAAGTATAACCATAACTTAAATTTACTGCCTCCTTAAATTCAGTGCTGCATTACATTCACTGCCACTTTAAATTCAGTGCTACCTTAAACCTGCTGCCACCATAAAATCAGTCCTACCTTAAATGCAGTGCCTCTTTAAACTTACTTCCACCTTAAGCGCTACCATAAATGCATTGCCACCTTATATCCACTGTTTGTGCTGATAGTGCTGTGCATTAAGCATGAGTCTGTGTGTACTTTGTATGAGTGTCTGTGTGAGAGGTGTGCATTGTGACATCACTTGTGTCAGTTACACTTGAAATGTCCCATTCCACCATTCATTCCCTATGGAAAAAAATATCTTCTCTGAATGATCATTATACGAAAACCGTATGTTGGATCACTTATAGCAACCTAATCAGGTATAGGTCAAATATATGCAAAGTTTTGTGGCTCTAGCTCGAAAACCGTGGGACAAGAAACATTATTTTTTGAGTGTATAATAATAATAATAATAATAATAATAATAAGAATAATAATAATAACAATAAAAAAAAAAAAACAACAACAACAACAACAACACGAAGAAAAAGAAGAAGAAGGATTACAAAAAACAGTAAGCTGGCTTTTTCAAGCCGACTTATCTTTGAGCACTTTGAATGACCGCAGTGTATGAAAGGTGCTATATAAATAAACCTGCCTTGCCTTAGGGCTGAGCAGAGACTACTGCGCTCTCGCTAGAAAACCTACTCCACCTGCAGACATACCACTGATCTGATCAAACAGAAGACGGCGAGAAAGGAGAGGGAGCTGGAGGAATGCCATGCATTCAGCGCAAACAGATTCATTTCTTTTGACGCGCTCTGTTCAGCGCCATCAAAGTCCGGCGGAGCGCGGTGATCAGAGGCAGATACGGAGCCCAGGCAGACGGTCACAGCTCTAGGAGACGTGTGGTGAACGCTGACGGAGGAGAGAGTGTGACTGTATATGATACGTGTGAATAAGTGCATGAACTTCTTCTGTGATGTGCAGCTCCTCTCTAGTGCGCTGAGCTAATGTCTCTCATTCACCTCCAGAGTATTCACACCTGCTGTCTGGGGACGAGCAGGCGTGCAAACCGTCACGTCCCATTTGTCTTTTCTTTATTCTAAAAAGGTCACGAGGTTCCGACTTTACCAAGAGATGCCACTGGATCAGGGGTGTTAATCTCAACCACTACAAAGGATTGTATTGAAAAATCTCACCATTGACCGTATAGTTTCACTCTGTAGCTCTACAGTTACAGACTGTAGTCCATCTGTTTCTCTGATACTTTGTTACCCTGTTCTTCAGTGGTCAGGACCCCCATGGACCCTCACAGAGCAGGTACTATTTGGGTGGTGGGTCATTCTCAGCACTGCAGTAACACTGACGTGGTGGTGGTGTGGTAGTGTGTGTTGCGCTGGTCTGAGTGGATCAGACACAGCAGTGCTGCCGGAGTTTTTAAACACCTCAGTGTCGCTGCTGGACTGAGAATAGTCCACCAACCAAAAACATCCAGCCAACAGCGTCCTGTGGGCAGCGACCTGTGACCATTGATGAAAGAGTAGAGGATGACCAACACAAACTGAGCAGCAGCAGATGAGCTATCGTTTTTGACTTTACATCTACAAGGTGGACCGACAAGGTAGGAGTGACTAATAGAGTGGACAGTGAGTGGACACAGTCTTTAAAAACACCAGCAGCACTGCTGTGACCACTGAAGAACAGGGTAAAAGGGGGCTAACAAAGTATCAGAGAAACAGATGGACTACAGTCTGTAACTGTAGAACTACAAAGTGCACCTATATAGTAAGTGGAGCTGATAAAATGGACAATGAGCGTAGAAACAAGGAGGTGGTCATAATGTTATGACTGATCAGTGTACACACACACACACACACACACACACACACACACACACACACACAATGACTGCATTGTGAAACTGGATAATAATAATTTAAAAATGTAAGTAATTCTACGGGCTGGACAGGACTGTGTCGTGGGCCTGATCTGGCCTGCAGGTCTTGCGTTTGACACATGCGCACCAGATCTTTCACATTCACAGGGCTAAATCTGCACAAGCACAAATTTAGACTGAGAACTGGGCAAATTTCAGCAGCAGTAAACTAGGCAATATTCTGGCAGCAAGCGGAGCATAAACTATAAATAACAGCCGACTAACAGACAGGAACGGTTCTAAATCGTCTTCTTTTGTGATCAAATGTTTTTATTTTAAGAAACAAATATCCCAGCCCCTGTGTTGAGCCGAATTCCGTCTTGCCGTCAGAATCAGACTCCCCTTCACATGCGTGCGCGTCACATGGATGCTATAGATTACACATGCAATTTTTGTTATACACATAAAAACAAGTGTAATCTGTAGCATCCAAATTCCTGCATGCCGTGTGAACATGAAGGGGAGTTCTGCATCCTTCAGCTCGTCAACAGATCAACGTGTCCATTTCATATGTGGCACTACAGGGTCTGGTTTGTCAACTCAACTCAAATGTTAAGAAGAGCTATTTTGTCTTTTGAACAAAAAACAAACCACTTTGGGAACATTTTATGTCCATTTTATTGAAGTAATGTTTTACCATCTTGGCTGTAAATATGTCTCAGTATGTGCTGATGTCCTAGTGTAGACTAAAAAATATAATATAAATAAAAAACACAGACTCTGCTTTAAGCTTTAGCTCAGCTATAGCCGCTTTTCTCACATCTCTGGCAGGAAAATTTCTGAAGTCGCCAGTGTCTTGTTCAAATTTTCCTGTTCCACCTTAAATGGTGCCTGAGGCACCAGAATGTTACTGCTGCACCATTTAAGGTGGAACGGGAAAATTCGAACGAGGAGCTGGCGAATGAGAAACTGACTTCAGCTTCGCAACTTTTTAGCGTTTCAGTTTCTTGTTGCAGATTAAACGTATCAGGAAACCAGCTGGAGTGATAAATGCAAACTCCATTCATCTCCAAATTATCGATGTTCATCTTAAATCTCTCTCTTTGCCGTGTCGTTAGCTACTAGCTAGGCGAGACTGTTGTCTGTGTTGCTATGGTGACCAGCAGTCTGCGCTGATCTTCAGGGTTAAAGGGTGAATCAGCAGTTCTACATTAACTCCAGAGTTTAAGACCATTTATTGTTAAACTGTGTTGAACGATCAGCAGAGCTTTATTTTACTGTAAAGGAGGATTATTTTATTTTTACCTAATAATCTGATTCAGCTGTGGAGCCACAACAGGGCAGTAAAAGAGACACAAGCTGCTGACCCCTGGCTCAAGGCTAATGCAGGAAAGCAAATTAAAAACACATTTGGTCCCTGAGCCTCTTTTGCTGTTACAGACTGAATTCATCAAGAGAAGGAAGACTAATGAACTGGGCTAATACGGCCATCAAACCCCAAGACATTTACCTCGTACACCTGGACCCTGAACTCTCTTCTGCTCTTGATTGCTCTCACGCTCTTAATCTTTCGACAGGTTGAGAGAAGCACTATTTTCTTTGGGCTCCTTTGGATCAATTCATTCAGGAGTTCATCTTGTACTCTGCAAATAAGGCTGTATTAAAGTTTGCATTATTAATGACGCCTGCTTGCAGTGCTCTAGATTAGCATTCGCAGAAGTGTCTGGCTCGGAGACACAGGGTGTGATTTACGATACTAACTCATCTGAGGGTTTTAGAATCAATAACACCACCAACTGAATGCTTCAAGATGAGGATGCACCAATACCATTTTTTTGACTGAGTATGAGTATATTTTTAGTACACACTGATACTAAGTCTGATACCATACTGAGTAACCTACTTAGAATGAAGTACCTGTTAGTGTAAACGAGTGTAAAGTACCTCAACAGTTCAACAGTAAGATTCAATCACTGAATCTAATTTTGAATAGTGTGTTATCTCGCTATGCTACATCAGTGATCTCTGATCGAGCAGCGCTGCAGTGGAGGTTTAGTTCCCCGTCAGAAAAGCTCTTCTGTACAGCTGTAAGTAAAGTAGGTTTCATAGTTTTGATCCTCATCTGTCTCTTTCAGCAGCAGCACAGCGACAGCAGGAATCACATCCGAGGCTGACGCATCCGAGGAGCTCACGCTTCCGGTTTTCTGTCCTGTTGGAGTCGTTTGATTGGCTGGTTGAGCCGTAGCTGAATGTCCTCTAAAGCCAGACAGACACTGTGTGATGTTAGAGATCTTGTTCTTTGGTGACTCTCACTGTACGTTTAATAGACCATCGTGTTCAGACAAAGCTACGAATTATAAACTCACACTGTACGAAACGCTCCGTCTGACTGACCTGCTACGGGAAACGCAGCCTCTACAGACGCTCTGTCTACAGACCGCTATCAATAAAGCTGATTCACTCAGAATAACCGAGTACTGAGCAAAACGCTGAGACACTGAGCAGCGCTGATGTCACTACTCTGTTTGACTAACCAGAATAAAGTTGCACTGACTGACTTTGGTAGGAAATGTTAACTTTTTCTCCTCTGTTTTGTTGGCCTGTGTGTGTCCACCTGTGTTGGGGAAGCGGCTGTGATTATGTTTGCTTGCGTTTATAACCAGGCTAAAATCTCTCAGAGCATTCCTGGCGGGAATCTGCCATGGAGGAATGTCTAAAGTGACCGACGACTTTGTGTCCGATTGTGACGCCGTCAGTAACACCTCTCTGTGTGAGCACATGTCACAGGCTTACATCACAGCTGGTATCAGAACATTGGTTCTGGTGATTTTTTATGAATACAAGTAAATGAGCACGGTATTGGCCCAAGACCAGTATCGGTACAGATGTACTCCTATTTCAAAACAGATTTTTTTCATTTCCACATAGGCAATTTTATTTATAAATACACTGCTGTCATTCAAAATGCTTTACAAATGAGAAAAAACATGATTAAAAGATGATTAAAACTAGATTTCAAAGAGAAAATCATTTAAAAAAATGCTTTGCATTCTGTGGAAGAAACACTGAAAACATGATTAATCTGAACAGCTCTTAAAAAGGTCCTGACACCGACACAGTGTTCTGAAGCCAACACAAGCCTGAGACAATACGACACCGCCTGCCCCAGCAGAGGAGCGCTGAGGCAGTGTGGAGAAAGAGGACAGACAGCGGATGAACACACCTGTGGATAAAGCAGGAAAAACAGCAGGAAGATTGATGCGAGAGATGCTGGGGGATTTATGGCCTGGCGGACGCGCTCAAGGCCAGCGGGGCCTGTGGGATTGTTTAGCGCCCATCTCTAAGTCACTTCATAGGGGAGGCACTTTATGACCGTGTGAGGGTATTTCCTGGAGGAAAGCTGTGCAAATCTCCAAAAGGGTGACTTAAATGACTTAGCAATACAAGAACTGAAGGCCACCGCTCTGCCAGGTGCCAGTTAAGGCCTATTCACACTGACTTTTCCAGAGCAAAAAAAACACAGTTTTGAAAATGAACGTGTGTTAGGGCTGCAGGTCATTGACATAAAATGCGATGTTCATTAAGCTGTCAGAAATCACAATGAAAATACAAAATTACAAAGGCACCATTAACTATTCTGCAAAATAAATAGAAATTAAACACTAACAGCTACTGACATCAGAACTGCAGATTCTGGGCTGAGAAACAGTCAGCATTACCTCAACAGCTTTTTCTATAAAGGCTACAAACCCAAATACACATATATTTATTTTTATATAAGCATGCAAGAACAAATACGTATTCTTGTTTCATTTTATTTTTTGTTTAGTTATTAAATGTTTTGGCGTCAGACACGCCCGGGTGTATTTAGTTTAAAATATCGTTCTTCCTTTTGGTTGAGTGTAGTTAAACACTGTGTTCTTAGTTGATCCAGTACTCTTATTTTGAAGGACTCTTATTTTGTGGGCCGTCCAGTAGCGAGCTTCACAACTTCACTGGCCAGCAGAAAAACAGTAGAGCCTGAGCCGCCTGTGTGCTGCGTGTTTCCCCTTTTACTGCAGCTGATTTGAGCTGAATCTCCATTAAAGCTGAGTTATGGGGACGTTTTAAGGTCTCACAGTGTTTTGTAGTTGAATTTCTCATCATGTTGAGAAATTTAGATTTCCAGACAGCTAATAAGTTAGAATGGAGAAAAAAGAGCCAGCAGTGCTACATTTAAAAAAAAAACAAAAACAAAATCAGCAACTGATTTTTCTGTTAAGTATTTGGCACTAAATCCAGTTAAAGGGACTAATTTTTCTCTCTTTATAATGAAACATGCAGCTAGTCAGTGTCTACATACACGCTATGTTCAGAAAAGCATATTGTACTGCACTGTGACATAATTTGGCACGATAACGATATATACTGCCACACTGCCCAGCCTTAACATAAATGTCTTAAATACCCTGTTAGTCAGTGAGGCTCACTCTGCCCCCCGTCCCACCTATCAGGACCTTAACTAGGAGAACTAAACGCTCTCATCACACAGCCATGGTGTTTAAGTATCAGCATTCTCAATGGAAACAGATGTAGGTAGGCTGAGGGGTGAAAACTACCCTCTGTAAGGGTCATGAACTCCCCGTGACTCCTGCAGTGTAGGGAACAATACAAGCTAGCAAAGGAATGTCCTGTAATCCCTTTTGACCCCCACAAGCTGACGTGTGCTTAGAGATAACAGTGATGCAGTGAAATGCGTTTAAAGCCCCAGATAGACAGTGTAAACACAAACACATCTAACCAGTCAAAGGTCTTGTTCAGACTGTCAACACAAATCTGATCTCTGTTGTATCCAGATTGTATTCAGATTGATTTTTGATAGTCTGGACAGCAAAAAAAACACCTGAAATCTATTTTTTGCAAATCAGATCAAAACCACATTTGGAGGTAGTTTGAAATGCGACTCCAATCAGATTTTTACAGATGTGTCTCAGTCTGGACACTCAAATCCTTTGTGGATAAGACTAAACACCCCTGTCCTACCATAGCAACCTCCTAGCGACACCTTAGCAACCAACTCTTATACCATAGCAACCAACTCTTATACCATAGCAACCTCCTAGCAACACCTTAGCAACCAACTCTTACACCATAGCAACCTCCTAGCGACACCTTAGCAACCAACACTTACACCATAGCAACCTCCTAGCAACACCTTAGCAACCAACTCTTACACCATAGCAACCTCCTAGCAACACCTTAGCAACCAACTCTTATACTTGATACTATGTTTTTCTGTTTTTACCACCAAAAGTTCTTCAGTTGTGTAAATTCCAACGTCCACCAGCTTACCTGGCGTCTTGCTGGCCTGGTCCGGCCCAGGTACAGTGGCCTCATGGCAGAGATCGTCTGTCTGACAGGACTTCTCATTGAGAGGGGTCCACTGCGCTTCTGCTGAAAGACCCTCCATCTCCATCACCACCACGGTAGGACTCTGAAATGAGCAAAAAACTGGATCAATACACTGCAAACCCAAACTAACAACCAAACATGTTTAATAAAGTCACAGAGAAACAGACTGACCTAATGAACTGGTCTTACAGGTACAGCGTATACAGCGTTTATCAGACCCTCGGTTTTCATCTTCGTTAAAGTACAAATTTTTCCTTTATGAATGAAGGAAATGAACGGGGTGCAAAAGTGGCACTACTCCACTGTATTTCTGCTCACTGAAAAACAAACACAGCTTCACATACACTATCTCAGGACAGGCCCCCGAGCACCAATTCAATGTTGTTCTGACTCGCACTCATGTGTTTGTCTTTTATCCCTCGTTCCTCCCATAGACTCCCATTCATTTTCTCTCCTAATGAATTCCTATTATGTCCTTGGACTGACAGCCACCAAACTGCATGTCCTCGCTCAAGGCAGATCCCTGAGCTCTAATCCACAGCCGTACTGACCCGCACTCCTCTGTGTCGTTTTTTCATCCCTCGCTCCTCATTTTCAATTACACCTCGCAACCAACTGAGAACCCCCTAAGAACCACTCAGTAAACATCCCGTACACCAGGGGTGTCCACTCTCAGCCACAGTGGCTGCAGGTTTTCATTCCAACAAAGCAGGACTGCACACGATCCGCTGGTGAAAGGCTGAGCAACTGACTAAACAAGTGGAATCAGGTGAGTTCCAGCCCTTTGTGGATAAGACTGGACACCCCTGTCCTACCATAGCAACCTCCTAGTGACACCTTAGCAACCAACTCTTATACCATAGCAACTGCCTAAAAGCACCTTAGCAACCAACTCTTATACCATAGCAACCAACTCTTATACTATAGCAACCTCCTAGTAACACCTTAGTAACCAAGTCTTATACCATAGCAACCTCCTAGCAACACCTTAGCAACCAACTCTTATGCCATAGCAACTGCCTAAAAGCACCTTAGTAACCAACTCTTATACCGTACCAACCTCCTAGCAACACCTTAGCAACTAACTCTTGTACCATAGCAACCAACTCTTATACTGTAGCAAACTCCTAGCAACACCTTAGCAACCATCTCTTATAACATAGCAACCACTTCACCTTCACCAGAAACTGGTGGTTGTATTTGCAATTGAAAAAGGTAATAAACTGCAATGTTACTGCAAAATTCACACATCACAATGTTTAAAATCACAACATCATTTCGCTGCTGTCGGAACAAAACGTCGTATCTCCATTTTTGTCGTTTCTCTGTTTTTGACATAATGTGAAAATGCTTTTTGTCCTTTACATTGTGTGTTAATTTCATGATGAATGGACCAAAAGAAACGACCCAAAATCACTTAAAAAGATCTGAGGTTTTGTCCCGAGAGCGGTGATATCTTGAGTTAAGTATCGTGATAATATCGTACCGTGGGGCCTTTAGTGATTCCCACCCCTATTTTTAAATGCCTGCCTGCCTGTTCTTTTCTCTGTCCTTCTCTTTTCCTGTCTTCTCTCCTCACTGAAGAGAGAAAACAAGCAACATCAGCTGTTAGGTAATCACCAGTGTGACTATCAGACAGACAGAAAGACAAACAGACAAAGAGAAGAAAAGAGAGCATCAAACCAAAACCCATTCACACCACTGACTGGGACACTGTTATTCAAATGAAACGGCAATCGGCAGTGTGATTCTAATGAGCTCAGTGGGTGGGGGGGGCCTTCACCAGGACCATCATCCAAACCACCCAATTAGATCTCCTGCTTCAGAAAGTAAAAGTACAGTGATTCTCTTTTAACACTTATTATCACTGCAGTGCAAGACTTAACCGTTCTAGATAAGGAGAACTTCTAGACTAATTCTGTACGAGTGCACTATAGCACCTTCTTGTTTGCTGACTTTAAACAAAACAAATAAAAACACTAATTTGGCATGAGTTCATGGACCAAACACGGTGGATACTTCATGCAGCAGCCTTTAAAAAATAAAGAAAATCAGTACAGGGTTCTTCTCTGCTCTCAGCACCAGCACTAACTGAACACTAGATGGAGACAAAAGCACAGCTTCAACTGAAGTGCTAGAGAACATACAAAAACAAACATAAATCAATCCCAAGTGTTCTTATTGCTCTTTTACACAACTGCTAAAATGAATTATCCTTAAAAGGGGAATTCCACCATTTTTTCTAAATTTCTGCATAATTAAGCAGTTAAGATGCTAACAGAGTCGTTCAGAGTGGTTTGGTGTGAAACGCTCCGTTCTAGAGAAACTTATCAAGTCAGAACTGTTCACAGTGGTGCTGATAGGAACCAGACATCCACCTCTTAAAGCTCCCTCACCGAAAGTTATAGCATGAGGGCTCTGGAGAGTAAATAAAATGTCTATATTTGTGTTGTAGTCATGGCGACCCCTGGTTCCTATCACCACCACTGTAAAGACATCTGAACCATTTCACACCAAACCACTCTGAATCACTCTGTCTACACCTCACACTCAATTATGGGGGAAGTTTGAAAAATTGGTGGAATCCCCCTTTAATATTTTTCAAATAATAACCACACCAGGCCAAGCTCACAGGTGAACACCCTGAATGGCTGAATAAGCAGCTTGAACCATTTTCTTGAACTTTCTGAGAAATGTAGCTACTTTTAGATAAATGGTCTTTAATGCACAGCACCTTGTGGCCACTTTGGAAAGTACACAACATCACAACATTCACCCTTCTGGGACCATTTAGTGTAGGGGGTAGTGGGGTTCTCAGTCAGTTCTAGCTTTCCTTTTAACATCACGGTGTGGTCATAGTCATGCAAACCTGCATATATGGAAAGCATGAGGGTCTATTAATTACATTAAATCTACTTTGTCATGATTTATGCAAAACCTTCACTCAGAGTGCCTCTGTTCTGGGAAATTAAGGTGGTTACATGTTTTGGTTTAGATCTCATGTGTCAATTACAGGGCCCGCTGGCCAAACACAGTCCTTACAGTTATTTTAATATTACATAAATATTAGCCTGTTTCCCAATGTGCAGCACTACAATCCCCAGCATGCACTGCAATATAACGTGTATGCCCACCCCTCCCCCAATAAACACACTATGGGACAGCAGTTACACCACAATTCTACCACACCACTCACATCAAATACCAGCATAGACACTATACACACTATAAACACTATAGACACTATACACACTATAGACACTATAGACACTATACACACTATAGACACTATAGACACTATAGACACTCAGCAGCTCAGAAACGGATCACAAAATTTAATGAACTTACAGCCAAAGAAAAGATCTTTGTCAAGATCGAGCAAACTGGTAGGGTTCAAAGACCCACCTTATGAGGTCATTTAAAGAGGTTTAACAGTTATCTGTAGCTATATACACACACACATATCGCCGCTGTAGAAAAAGAACCTCGTATCTCCAAAATGGTAAATTTACAGTAGAAGGAAAAAACCTACTTTACTTCTAATGTAAGTCAATGGAACCAAACGTCTTTCCAAGTAAATCTGGGTCGTTTCTTTTGGTCCATTCATCATGAATTTTACACACAGTGTAAAGAGTAACAGGTATTTTCAGATTATATTGTATTACCTCTATTCTAGTCACTAGTATTCTATTCACACTACAATACATATTTAAACTATCTTCTTTCACACCTTTCGACTTAGAACCCCCAAACTCCGCTGGAACATAAATATCCAAGATTTACGCCTGAGATCTTTTAACCAATTTGACTCACAATTTACATTCAATGTTTGTCAAAACATTTTTTTCCATAAACAAGAGCTCAGGGGACTGAAACTTATTCACACTATATGAGCCTCGTACCTCTAACTTTATTCCACCACAATCAGTAAACACACTGTAGCCAAAAGTTTTTGGACACTGTTCTTTCATCTTCAAACACTGCATACACCCCACACACACACACGCCACACACACACGCCACACACTCCTTAGCAATCACCTGAGATAGTATAGCAGCTGCCTAGTAACACCAAAGCAACCACCTGGAAAAGCATAGCAACCACCAAGCAACACCAAAGCAATCACCTAGGATAGCACAGCAACCACATAACATCTTGGCATCCACATGGGATAGTATAGCAGTTGCCTAGCAACACCTTAGCGACCACCTGGGATAGCATAGCAACCACCCTGCAACACCAAAGCAACCACCTGGGATAGCATAGCAACCACCTAGCAACACCTTAGCAACCACCTAGCAACACCTTAGCAACCACCTGGGATAGCATAGCAACCATCTAGCAACAATTTAGCAACCACCTGGGACAAATAAAATATTTAAATAAAAGAAAGGGGAAAACAGTCTGGGATTGGATAGAAGTATTTAAATTAACCAATGAAAACTGATGACTGTTCGAGGCCAATCAGCATCACTGAGAAACTGATCTGTGAGAATCAGTCACTGTTACCAGTGAAAACCAGCAACTACTGTTAGAACCGCATCACAGAACCATGAACGTCAGTGACCGTTAGAAGCCTAATTAACTCATTACAGTCTGATGTCACTCCTTTAATAATAAACCGGACTAACTGACCTCAGACTGCAGCTCAGCACACGGGAGGTGAGTCGGCGCGTTCTGCGCTGTTTATGTCCCGTTATCTGCGTTTATTTACATAACAACAACGACAAAACTAACACCTTTAAAAGAGGATGAGCCGCTAAATCACCCACTACTGCACTGCAGACACGCAGGCACTCACGCCCCACAATCATTTCTGCACGACTCTATTTACTTAAGACACAACCTGAACCTAAGGAGCTCCAAGCCGGTTCCTCAGGACAGCAGAGCTGGAAGAGGACACTGCAGAGAACCAAAACATATAAACGACAGGATTTATCAGTTCAGCTGAACCACGGGAACGTTTTTCAGCTGTCTTTGCGTTCCTCCAGTAGAACGTGTGAGAGCCACACAACCGCAAACTGACTTTAAAATGATCAGCTCGGCTGAAGACACTTAGAGCCCCCAACTCTAGAGCTCGGAGAACTCGGTAAGGACCGTAATTGTACTACTACACTCTTCAAGAGTTCTCTAGTAAAGAATATGGTTCTATAAAGAACCATCAACACTCACACAACCCTCTGCATGATTAAGGGATCTTTGCATCGCAAAAGTTCTTCAGATTGTTGGAGAATGTGTTGTATATGATTCCGATGTCAAGCTTGTTAGAATAGAAGAACCCTTTTTAGTGCTATATAGAACCCTTTTCAAAAAAGGTCATATACAACACATTCTCACATTCAAAGAACCGTTTACAACACATTCTCTATTAACAGAAGAACACTTTCACGATGCAATGAACCCTTTAATCATGCACTCTTTGAGTGTTCATGGTCCTATGTAGAACCATTTTCTTAACTCAAGAACCTTTGCAGTACTTAGAGGTGCGATATGGCAAAAAAGTAAAATCATGATACTTCAAGAAGTTTACATGATTATATATATATATTTAAATATAATCAATATTATATATAATATATATTTAAATATAAATATATATAAATTACATATATTATATTTATATGATTATATGTATATACACACACACACACACACACACACACACACAATCAAAACTACAGTGATATTCACTGCACACGCAGCTCCGCATTACAACTCAATTAAACATGATTGATTAGGCTCTCTGTAATCAATAATGCAGTAGTTCAGTTCTTTAAGTACTGACGGTATCTACAATATACTCAGATAAGGACACTGTGATGTGATTCACCACAATAACAATAAACATCTTCATATCACACAGCTCTACACACTCAAGGGTGGTTCTCCAAGTGTTCTTTAATAAAAACAGCGGTTCTATATAGAACCATTCCATGCTTAAATGGTTTTTGCTCAGTGAAACGGGTCGTCAGATTGATGAAGAATGTTTTGCATATGGTTCTATGTAGCACCTTTTAAAAAAAGGTCTATATAGCACCAAAAAGGGTTCTTCTATTGCTACAATGTCAAGCTTGTAACTATGAAAGAAAACTTTCTTGGTGTTATATAGAACCATATACAGCACGTTCTCCATCAGTCTGAAGAACCATTTCACCACGCAAAATCTTTTGCCCCTATCTTTAAGCGTGTACTACTCCAAGTGCCATTACACTGCTGTACCATCATTTACTTGTTATCTAGAACATGCAC